GGCCCCGTCTCCGGCCTCCGAGTGCAGCGGCCTCACCGCCAGCCTTCCGCTGCTGCACACCGCGGCTCCCAGCACCAAGTCGCTTTTTGTTTTTGTTTTTAACGAATTTGAAAATTATAGCAAATGAGTAATTTTGCAAATATTCACATACCCACAACCCAGGATTAGCTCCTGTTAACATCTGGCTGCATCTGAATCATCGTGTTTCAAGAAACAACATAGAACCTAAACAGAAATCCTCTGTAACATGATTTAAAAGGTGCGCGAGCAACACGCACCTGACCACCTCTTAATCAGACACGCATGGACTGTGGGTGAACACATGGAGTACGGCACGGACGGCTCAGACCCGGGCTCTGCAGGCCACAGAAACCGGGGCCACAGCCACAGCCACGTGCGGCGGGGGGCAGGGTTCCTGCACTGTCATTTCTGCGTTGCTGCTCACAGGCACCGTCCACGCGTGGCACCCTGCCGGCGTGGTCTGACGCGGGTGGGGCGGGGGGCAGCTCCAGTGGGGCCAGGCCCTGGGTTCCGTACTGGCCGCACCGGGAGAAGCCGTGCTTCTTGGGCAAACTTTGTCTCTGCACCTCCCCGCCAGGGCTGCTGCGGGGGTGACCCGGACGTCCCAGGTGGGGTCCCGAGAGACACCTGTGAGGCGACGGTGACCAGGTGTTCCAGGTGGCTGGCGGGTGACGAGGGCATCCCTGGCTGCCACGTGAACACGCCCCAGCAACTGCTTTGTTGCTGCCCAGGCCCTCCACGCTGACAGCTACACGGATCCTCTGCACCTCTCCACACGTGTATTTACTGTCATCTGCCTGAAAGGCAGACAGCGCCAGTCCACCTGCCGGGTCACTCCCCAGATGCCTCTCCAGGCCGCAGCCAGGAGCCTGGAGCTGCCTCTGGTTTCCCACACGCTCGAGCCATCGTCTGCTGCCTCCCAGGGCGCATCTGCGAGCAGCCGGATGGGAAGCGGAGGGAGGGGCTCAGCCCGGGCGCTGTGCCGTGGGACCCGGCCCCCCACCCTTCCAACAGTGGGTGCTGGGCTGGCTTCCCACAGGGACTTCAGATGGCCCCAGCCCCGCCCTGTCACAGCCCCAGCCCCCTTGGCCACGGGCGGGGTGCGCCTCCATCCCGTGCTTCTGCGCTGGCCTGCAGCCGGCTCCTCCAGCCCGGCCCCCCTGGCCAGTGACTGGATCCGGGCCCGTCCGACAGCTGTGCCGCGCCGCAGCCTGGGCTCACCAAGCACGGGGGACTCCGAGCGTGGACTCCCCACCTACGCACTGTCCCCGCGGCCGCCCCATCTCTCCCTCATCCCACAGTCGGGCTGCTCCTTAATCTCCCTGTTTGAACAGCACCCCTTATCAGCTCCATCTCTTGCCATCACTTATCTTCCTGTTCTCTCAATGCCTATGATATTCAGGATCCCTCCCCTGCTACCTCAGCTGTCACTCCCCGCACTCCCACGGCTGACGGCGCTGTCTCCAGGCTGCCACACCGGCCGAGTCCCTGCCCCCGACCCTCCCCCCAGGCCTGCTTCGGTCCATCACCTCTACCCCAGCGGTGCTGCTCCTGCTCCGGTCGTCCTTCCTCTCTCCCACGGGTCCCTGCAGGTGGGCAGGCCAGGATCTCGCCCCAAGGCCGGCACTGCTGCTGCGTGTGGTCCTGTCTCTCAGGCCTCGTCCAGGGCGCTGTCCCAACGTGGCTGACGGGAACACGGTGCCTCCCAACCACGCTTCCGCCGCGTCAGCATTTCTCTTTGCTCTTCCACCCTCCTTCTCAACACCGTCAGTCGCTGGCTGCCGGAGTTCACGGAGTTCTAAGTGCGCACAGTGCAAGTCCTGAGCCTCCCGGCCACCGCCCTCAACCCGGGTCCTGAGCCTCCTCCCGGCACCGCCCTCAACCCGGGTCCTGAGCCTCCTCCCGGCTACCGCCCTCAACCCGGGTGCTGAGCCTCCTCCCGGCACCGCCCTCAACCGGGTCCTGAGCCTCCTCCCAGCACCGCCCTCAACCCGGGTCCTGAGCCTCCCGGCACCGCCCTCAACCCAATCCTGAGCCTCCTCCCAGCCACCGCCCTCAACCCGGGTCCTGAGCCTCCTCCCGGCCACCTTCCCCAACCCGGGTCCTGAGCCTCCTCCCGGCACCGCCCTCAACCAGGTCCTGAGCCTCCTCCCGGCACCGCCCTCAACCAGGTCCTGAGCCTCCTCCCGGCACGGCCTTCAACCCGGGCCTCTGCTCCTTCCCGCTGCTTTCCTCTCCCTTTCCCTCTGCTGGGCGTCGGGCGTGGTCTCTGTTCTCTAAGTCACCTGAAACAGTTAAATACTTCCTCAGGCTTGTGTTTCCTAGGCCATTCCAACGGAAGCCCACTGAGCAGGGCTGTCCATCGTGGCACTCTGTGTGCACATGGGTACATGTGTGTATGCGTGTGTGTGCACGCGTGTAGCCTGTGTGTGCAGGGCTGCAGTCACTGGTGGGCTCCTGATGGAGACTCCCACAGTGCACTCTGCTGCAGCCACGTCTCAGAGCGACAGGCATCTGGCACGGCCGCGCGTGCAACGGGAAGAGGACAGCAAGTCCGTGTACAGCGAGGGAACACGCGAGTTACGCTAATGCACACCACTGAGCATTATTCTTGGAGAATTTTAATGACAGAAAAGGCTTCAGGTACTGGCACAGCAGGTGTCCTAAGAGGTCTCTGTGCTGGCCTGCAAGGTGAGCGTGCAGAGGCCTGAGGACTGAGGAGGGAACAGGCGTGGGGGTAGCCAGAGAGGACAGGACCACCCCAGACCGGCGGCCGAGGCCGACCGGGCCCAGAAGCGAGACGCCAGGTGGCGGTGGACGCTGCGCTGGAGAGAGCCCATCCCGACCTAGCGGGGTGAAGGGGCCCACACCCCCGGCACCGCCCACCCCTGCCCCTCCCCCCTCAGCAGGCATCTGCCAGGGCCAGGGGAGACTGCGGCAGGGGAGGGACGGGCGGGGTATAGGCCTCACCTCGGGGTTCGCTTGGTGCCGTGTCCTCCTCTGTGACGCTGACCCCAGTTTAAAGAGCAACAGCAACCGAACAATCGGTGCAGAAACACGAGGACCGGCAGAGCCACAGCGCGTCTCCTGCTGTCCCGGGAGAAGGGGTCCCCGAGCCCAACGCCCGGGCCGGCACCTCCCCTCCCTCCCCCCGCGTGAACACCCCACTGGGCACTCGCAGTGGCCCGTGCTCCGCGCTGTGCCCGTCTTAGCTGACTCCTGGGTACTGAGGATTTGGCTGTGTCTCAGGCCCATCTGTCTCCCGCAGCCGCTGTCTGGGGACCGTGGCCTCTCCCGCGGTGCGCACGGACGCCCAGCAGTCCCCTTCTCTGCCGTGTTCAGCATTGGTTCCACGCCCGCAAGATCTCACCACACCCAGGGACACAGATGTTCAAGTACTTTTCAGTATGGAGGGTTTAATTTTTATATTTACATACATTCTCCCGGCGTTTATTTATTTATATTTTTTTCCTGGAAGAACAATCCGGTTTGTCAATGAATCGGACGCAGGCACGGCTGTCGGTGCCGGGCGCGTCCATGGCCACGCACACCACTGGTCCACTCTTCGTTGAGGGCCTTCTACGCCAGGGGCTGCCGGACGGTGTGGAAAGGCCTCCAAGCCGGGGCACAGAGCCCACTGGGCTATGAGTGCTGCTAGAGGGAGCCCCGGGGCCGGCATGGGCAGGCAGGAACCAGGGAGGCCCAGGAAGGACTCGTGTCCCAGGCAAACACCGCCCAGAGTCACATGGGGCAGGTCCACCGGGGCCAGGGAGCCAGCAAGGCCTCGAGCCCAGCGTGGGTGCTCCTGGAGGCCCAGGTGCAGGGCAGCTCGGAGCTGGACCTTCTCTGGACAGCCTGTCCCCACCTCCCAAACACAGGAGCTCCTGTCTCAGGTCCACGCCAGCGCCACGCACGCGTCTTCCACCCATCAGCCCTTTCAAAGCTCAGCCACTCCAAGGTCCCCTCCCTCGCACACGCCAGAATCTCGGCTGTCCCCACAGGTCTGTCCTTGCTAGGAGTCCAGTAGCCCCTTGGCAGGAACCAGCGGTGCCCACAGAGCCGGGCAGGCGCCAGCGGAGGTCAGGGATTCTCTCAGGGCCCTGGGGCTGGGTGTACATGTGTGTGCACACGTGTACATATGTGTTTGTGTGCGTGTGTGTGTGTGTGCAAGGCCGTGAAGACCTCAAGCTGCCTGAGGGACAATGGCCAAGCCCCAGACTCCGACCATGAGGGCAGAGGACAGTGGTCAGCTGCCACAGGCCCCTGCTCAGAGCACGGAGCCTCACCGCTGGTCCCGGTCTCCAGCCTGCAGGCATCGGCACGGCCAGCCCACACTGTGGCCCCCACACAGCTCCACGCTCAGTCACTGGGGACGAGAGAGGCAAGTGGGCTCCCCCGTGGGGGCGGTGGCCACCGCAGGGGACAGGAGCGCAGCCCGTGCCTGTCTGTGGGCAGCACAGGACAACTGCTGGGAGAGGCCCGAGCTTTGGGTGCGGCCGTGGGGCACTCAGAGCACGCGTACCTCCGATCTCCCTGACGACCGGGGCTCCGTGCGGCCATTTCAGTGAGGCAGGGTTGGTCCGTTAGGCCAGCGCTGCAGGCAGGGTGAACAGCTCCCAGGCCCCAAGAGCAGGAGGGAGAGGTCAGCCCTGGGGGCCCACCCCAGCACGGGCGCTTTCCCGAGCAGACACCTGGCGGAGGTGGCCACACGGGGAGGCCCCTCTTGCCCGCAGCCCACAGGGCGTCACCGAGGGGCCCACTTGTAGCCCAGCGCTATGCACGCCAGCTCTGAGCCCAGCAGCACGGGTCCAGGCCCAGGGTCCCTCAAGCGAGTCCAGCTTCACCCTCATCCCCCCGAAGACTCGGGGGCATCAGCAAGAGGGGGTGATGCCGCGCCCCACAGGGCCAGGCGCGCGAGGCTGAGCTCAGCCCGACCCACAGCCGCGCAAGTCCTGGAATCACAGGCCGAGGCCGCAGGCTTCGCGACTGCACCTTTATTCCACGTCTCCAGGACACGGCATTTCAGACAGCTCGCCTCCAGCACTCCCCCCGCCCCGCGTGGACACAGGACGCTCGTCCACGTCCCGAGCGCCACGGGAAGGTGCCCGGACCCAGCCCACCGGTGTGGGGCCCTCCTGCCTGTGGGGCCCGCTGCCCGGGGCACAGGCCTGCACAGCCGCGGTGATCCGAGGGCGGGGGAGCTCCCAGGGCCCATCTCGGCTAAGTGAGACGGGGAGTCCTGGGCGCTGGGATGGCCGGACCCCAGTCCCGGGGAGGGGCAGAGGGTGGGGCTGTGCTCATTGCTACGCTGCATGTAACGACCAGACTTCTCCCCAGGAGCAGGAATACGCGCACGCCACGTGCCCCCACACTCACAGCCTCCAGCTGGTGTGCTGGGCCGGGCAGGGGGTGTGGCTGCTCCTGAGGGGTGTTGGTGACAACAGGTTCCTGAGGACGGCAGCTGTCCTGGCTCAGGGTCCCAGGGGCCGAGGCTGCGGCCTCACGGGCAGGTGTCGGTGTCAGCGCAGGCCACACAGCCTGCGACGGGCCTGGGGGATGCAGGGGAAGCAAGCCCCGAGCCCCTGGAGCAGCAGACGCAGCCCTGGCAGGGCCCCAGGAGCCGGTGAGTCTCCACGAGGCAGGCTGGGCAGATCTGGCAAAGGGCAGCTAGGCCGCGGGGGCCGGGGAGGGGTGGGGGACACACAGGCCACTGCGGGCGCCACACCCTGCCCGCCTGCCGGCCTGCAGCCAGTGCCCAGGGCTCCGTGAGAACAGCCGCTCCGGGCCCTACCTGACACACACCCCCCGGGGCTGAGCCCTCTAAGAGGTCAGAGTGCAAAGTATGGCAGCTGGGAGTGGCCTCACAGCGCCCACCCACTCCTCGGGGCCCGGGGCCACTCCTGGATCCCACCCTGGCCATCAGCATTCTAGCATGTTCCAGCCAGGAGAGAACACAGCACGGGAAAGGGTGGGCTCTCCGCCGAGGGCAGTCTCACGTGGCGTTTCGTCTGTATTTTATTCTTTCACTCAACAGATCAAGTTTCGCGTTTCAGACAAGGTACCAGGCGGCGACGCCTCCCTCTGCCCCGGCCCCTCCGGCCGGGTCCGCCGACCGGCACCTCAGGAGGCGGGCATTTGGCAAGGACGCTGCTGGGCGGGCGAAGGGGCGCACCTCAGCCCCAAAGCCAGGACCCTCCCTGGCTCTCTTTGGTATCTCAGAAACAGGCGGCCCGTCCCTGCCAGCCCTGGACGGACCCTGGGCCTGGGTCTGGGCCTGGCCAGTGCCGGCAGGGCGGGGCCGCCCAGCAAGGCCCCCGTCCCCGGGGGCCCACGGCAGCCGCTGGCAGCGGGCCAGGCTCACTTCTTGTAGTGATTGGGGGCGTCGGCGAAGGCGAACTTGAGGCGGTAGGCCTCGGCCAGCAGCAGGCTGATGTCCTGGTCGCCCCAGTGGGCAGTGGGCAGGTTCTGCAGGAAGAGCAGCAGCTCCTGTGGACAGAGGACAGGCTGGTCAGCAGGGCACCGGCGAGGCCAGGGATCCCGAGAAGGTGCCCAGCCAGCAGCTGGGAGGTGGCGGGGGGCAGCGTGCCCACCTCCACCGGGCAGGCCCCCAGCCCCTCGCAGCTGGGACTCGGGACCTGCAGGCCCTCCACGTTCCCACGGGGACAGGCCACAGACTACATACGACGCAGGTGCCACCTCAGCCGGGAACTTCCTCCCCAAGCCCCTGAACTGCCCGCAGACAGAGCCCCCAGGGGAAGCCCCTGCTGCAGGAACCCCAGGGCGGGGCCAGCCCAGTCCCACCGCCCACAGCTTCCCGTTCCTGAGGCTCAGCCTGCGCTGTGAACAGGACCACCATGACGGCAGTCAGCTGATGGCACACAGGACACACAGGACGCCCAGCACCAAGAGAGGAACTGGGCGCACGGAGGACACACAGGGCACACGGCAGGAGCGCAGTGGACACACAGGAGGCACCTGTCACTCACTGGCTTCTCGAGTTCCAGGCAGGAGCCCTGCTTCAGAGCCTCCACACTGGAACCCCCTCTGCGGCCTGGCCCCCGGCCTGCAGCTGCCCATGTCTCCGAGCCACACCCAACAGCACCTGTGAAGAAGCCCCCGAGCTCGCGGGTCAGAAGGCGGCCATCGGACCCTGATGGGCTGGTGACTCGCTAACCACAACAGGGACGGGGTCCACGTGGTGAGACTCAGGCGGCCACAGACACGGACCACTGACCACCCGTGTGCAGAGCGGGGGAGACCCCAAGGGCAGGGCAGGATTCAGGGGAACCCGGAGGGAAGGCCTGGCAGGGTGGGGCTCAGAGGGCTGTGCGGACCAGGCCGTCAGCTCAGGGCCAGCCCAAGCCAGGCAGACGGCTCCACCAGGCACCCCGACTGCTCTGATGGCCTGGCCACGGGCAGGCTCCCCCACCCTCCTACCTCCCTGCCACATCCAAAGTCAGCAGGGGGTGGGGGCCCTCTAAGGGTGCTGGTGCCACCCTGCTCAGAGGCCTCGTGATGGAGAGGGCTGCCGGCTCGGCCCCTGACCGTGGACGCTCCTCGTCTCCCAGGCTTCCCACGCGGAGGGGCAGCCAAGGAGGCGCCGACTCCCGCCGTGTGGCCTAGGCTCTCTGCGCATCGCCCCCCCCCCCCCCCCCCCCGTCACCTGCGGCTGAGGACAGCAGTGTCTGTTCACGGGGCAGAATCAGGGTGCGCCCAGCTGTGCAGGCACGGGGCCTGGCCGCACTGGGACCCTCTCCGGCCAGGACACGCCTCCAACTGTTGTCTAACCGCAGTGCCCCTCCCCCTCGCCCATTCCACTTCCTTCGCACGTGGGGTGCTCTCCGTGAGCCTTTAAATTGAATTCACGGAGCAGATTTCCCTGGCAATACGTCCCCAGGGACACATCAACAGCAATCTGCTGTCTCTCACCATTAGACGCAGCTTACACGGATGCCAATCCAATTCTGGGCAGGTCATAAATAAACACCTCTGGTTTTATTTTTAATCCACTTGGCTTCATATTATCATGACCTCACTGCTTGCAAGGTGAGAGGCAGTGCCCTCCCGTTACGGGAACTCGCCGGCCACACTGCACACTCCATTTCGGAATCTAATTTCGTCCCCAGGTTCGCAGGACGGAGGGGAATGGAAAAGCCCGTTCTCCCCAGCCCGCGGCGCGGGAGAAGGCAAATCTATCTGGGTGACCTTTGCGGCACGCGGCAAGCACGGCCGAACGCGTCCTTAAATACAGATTTCGCTTTTACAAAGGCTCGTCTTATTTATGCACGGGCACACGGCGCGTTTATTAGCCGTGAGCTGTTCTGCATTACCCACATCACGCAGGTAAAGGGGCCGTAACTCAGGAAGCCATCACCGGGTCCCAGGAAGGGGCTGAGCGCGTGCTGGGACCGGCAGGAGGCCTTGCAGGAGCCCAGAGCCGGGCAGCGGATGGCTCCTGCGCCTCCAGCCTCAATGCTCAATGCTCCAGTAACCAGCCCCGGGGCCGAATCGGCAATGCAGACGCCAAGGGTGGCTTTGCCCACAACATCAGCCTCAAGTCCAGGAAGCATCGGGTCCCAGAGAAAAGCCACAGGAAAACGCCGAGTGATGTGCACCGCTGCCGATCGGCACGCGTCGGCCCTGCCTTGCCCGGTGCTCCTCTTCACACCATGACTGCAGCGGGAACGGCGGGGAGGGGACAACACACGCCTGGCGGTCAGAGCTCTGGGCCCAGCATGCAGAAAATAAGCAGATGTCCACCAACCCCAGCACCCAGGACACAGTCATGTCCACCCAACCCCCGCACTCTACATCACACTCATGTGCACCCCACCCCAGCACCCCAGGACACACTGACACCCCCCACCCCAGCACCCTAGGACACACTGATGCCCCTCACCCCAGAACCCAGGACACACTGATGCCCCCTATCCCAGCACCCCAGGACACACTGACCCCCCACCCCAGCACCTTAGGACACACTGACACCCCCCACCCCAGCACCCTAGGATACACTGACACCCCACACCCCAGCACCCTAGGACACACTGACCCCCCCATCCCAGCACCCCAGGACAAACTGACACCCCCCACCCCAGCACCTTAGGACACACTGATGTCCCTTCCTGACCCCAGCACCCCAGGACACACTGACGCCCCCCACCCCAGCACCCCAGGACACGCTGGTGCCCCCCTGACCCCAGCACCCCAGGACACACTGACACCCCCCACCCCAGCACCCTAGGACACACTGACATCCCCTATCCCAGCACCCTAGGACACACTCATGTCCCTTCCTGACCCCAGCACCCTAGGACACACTGACGCCCCCCACCCCAGCACCTTAGGACACACTGACACCCCCCACCCCAGCACCCTAGGACACACTGATGCCCCCTACCCCAGCACCCCAGGACACACTGACCCCCCACCCCTGCACCCTAGGACACACTGATGCCCCCCTAACCCCAGCACCCCAGGACACACTGATACCCCCCACCCCAGGACACATGGACTCCCCCCACCCCAGCACCCCAGGACATGCTGGTGCCTAGGGGGCGCCCAGGCCCGTGGACTCACACTCAGAAGCGCACCCTAGTCCTCAGTATGGGGAGACTCAGGTTTCAATCGACAATTTGGCCATGTTACAATCAACAGACTGAGGGCTCCACACAACCATGGGGCAGTTTACATGTCCACAGGTGAGAGGGCTGCAGAGTGGCGGTGAAGCCTTGGAGCGGGCACAAGCTGCACCCTCCCCGGAGCCTGGGGTCTCCCTGCTCCCTCCCCCGAGCCTGGGGTCTCCCTGCTCCCTCCCCCGAGCCTGGGGTCTCCCTGCTCCCCTGAGCCTGGGGTCTCCCTGCTCCCTCCCCCAAGCCTGGGGTCTCCCTGCTCCCTCCCCCGAGCCTGGGGTCTCCGCACTCCCTCTCCTGAGCCTGGGGTCTCCACGTTCCCTCCCCTGAGCCTGGGGTCTCCCTGCTCCCTCCCCTGAGCCTGGGGTCTCCCTGCTCCCTCCCCCGAGCCTGGGGTCTCCGCACTCCCTCCCCTGAGCCTGGGGTCTCCCTGCTCCCTCCCCCGAGCCTGGGGTCTCCCTGCTCCCTCCCCTGAGCCTGGGGTCTCCCTGCTCCCTCCCCCGAGCCTGGGGTCTCCCTGCTCCCCCGAGCCTGAGGTCTCCGCGCTCCCTTGCCCTCAGCCTGCCGTAAGTATCCAGTGTCCCACTCCCCTGATTGGCTGTAGGCCCTGGGTTTCCTCTCAGTACCCTTTCTGCTAGGTGGCCCACTGCAGGGGCTCCGTGGGGGAGGGACCAGCAGCAAGATCAGGGAACTGGACGCCAGAGGACCTGGGGGCTGCTCTGGCTCCACCACCACAGCAGACGTTCTCACCTGTGCCGCAGGGTGCCACGTGCCGTCTGCCGCATTGGCAGGTGTGCGCGCCCCTGTGTGCCCAACACCAAGCACACAGGTCTGCGCGCCCCTGTGTGTCCAACACCAAGCACTCAGGTCTGTGCGCCCCTGTGTGCCCAACACCAAGCACTCAGGTGTGCGCGCCCCTGTGTATCAACACCAAGCGCACAGGTCTGCGTGCCCCTGTGTGCCCAACACCAAGTGCACAGGTCTGCGTGCCCCTGTGTGCCCAACACCAAGCACTGTGTGCCCAACACCAAGCACACAGGTCTGTGCGCCCCTCTGTGCCAACACCAAGCACTCAGGTGTGCGTGCAGGACGTCTCGAGGTGTGGATGAGGGTTCACAGGGAGGTGCTCATCTGGCTCCTGATAGCAAGAGGCTGATGCTCCTTGGGACATCCAGGGTGCCCAGTAACCGGTGCTGGGAACTGAGAGCCGCCCAGGGACGAGATCACACTGGGCCCCGACCTCACACCGCAGGGCACAAGCAGCACAGGGGCATCCGAGCCCTAGGTTTAGCACAGCCGAGCTCCCTGCTAACTCCGAGCAGGCAGAGCCTTCCTCACCAGGACTCCAAGCGCAGAAGCACTCACAGGCACATGGAAACCTAACAACCTCTTGTAAAGAAGAAAATACCACAACATACGGTAGGTGCACACCATCCCTCTCAACACACAAAAACACGCATGTCTGTCAGAAGACGAACGAGAAAGTGGAAGAAAGTGCAACTCCGCTCAGAGAAAGCGAAGCCGGCTCTAGCAGAGAGAGAACCCTCAAGTGGAGAAAAAGACCAAGACCCTGAAAGGGACTGGCGCAGACAGGAACAGACGCTTACGGGAGAGGAGGCCAAGTGGCCCGACCGTGCGACCGACACTCACCCTCCGTGAGGGAGCTGGGGTGCCACTTGCCGCGGCCGAGCCTGGTGGCAGTCTCCAAGCTGCACGGCCCACTCTGTGGCCAGGAGCAGTCACCAAACACACGAGGGAGCTCGAGTTAGCTGTGTCAGGGGTGCCCACGGTTGGGCGCTGGGGGTGACCAGGGCCCTCTGTCCCAGGGGTGCAGCGTGTGGCACTCAGCATGAC